TTTTTTGAGACATAAAACTCAAAGGGAGGGGGTCGAGTCTAAGACCAGTTCCTGTGCTGGCTAGCCTCTCAATTCATTTTAATCTTTATCATGTGTTTCGAGGTTGCTTTGCCTATGGACCACCTTGTTATTCAGATACAATGCAATCTTGGAGGGAGTTCTGTCTGCAGGGTTTGGGATCAAGACTTTGTTGGTGGAAGTTGCAGAATTTCAATTTAATATTATTCCAGTACTCCCTGATCATCATGATCTTTTAAGTGTATGTGAACACTTAGTTATAAGACTCCGCATTTTGATATTTTTTTTTATATTTAGAAGTGGGGCCAAGAATGGGGAGATTTTTAATGTTGTGACATGACTTTAGGTTTTTTTTGCTGGCTGCAAATGTCAAAGAAGTTTAGCTTTTGTTTTGTTTTTACTGATTTGAATGCATGAAGACATGCGGTACCTCAATTAAGGCAGCAGAGAAGTTGCCAATCAGTAATGAAGATGCTCTGTCATTTTAGCTGTGTGGGTGCTTAATAATTTTCCATAATAATCCTCTGCTGTAAAGTACAAAAGAAAAGGGATTCCTGTAGGGGCATTGTGGTCTTCTGCAGACAAGGAAAATTGACATCTTTTAAATAATGGAGAGATGCTTCTCTCCTCTAGTGCCTTAATTCTGAGTAGATAGATTATAATAACTCTTTCTACTTAAATACTGCTTTTCCTGTTTTGACCCCAGAACAATTTAAGAAGGGGATAATGTCACAGAAAAAGCTGAGGCACAAAAAATTGAAATGACCCCATAAGGTAACCCAGCATGTCCACCGCCAAGCCAAGAATAAAATTCCTGTCTCCTGAGTCCCATGCCAAGGCTTCATCTTCTAGGCTAGAGGTCCTTGATGGGTTTTTAGGTAAGCCTCACTGCTACTATTTCCCTTTCTCCTTGCTCTTCTCCCCCACCCCCCACTGACTGCTGCGTCCTCATGCTCATATGCTCCCCTCCCTTGCATAACCCATTTTTCAGACCCATCCTGTGTCCTTCTCCTCGTTTCCCATCTCTTGTTCTACTGCCACCTCCTTCTCCAGTCACCCACTTGGATTGACACCGCCACCGCAAAGCATGGCTCCTACTGAGCTTATCTGCTTGGGCTCGAGTCATGTGTCTCCTGTTCAGACTGGCGTGACTCACGGTCAGCAGCTTCTGCATAGGCTGTGTTGTCCCTGTCCCTTTGGGTCCTGAAACTGTGCAGGTACCTTAGAGTGATATCTGAGCTGATACACCTGCAATACTTCGCCTTTTATTGAGTAAGGATTCTCTAACCTGTGCTCCATGGGCAGCAGAGAAACCAATGGAAGCCTTGGAGCACGTGTTCTTCATATTTGGTACCTGGGGATGCTTGGACCTATGTGCTTGCATAGTTTTTTAAATGCTGAGGGCTGAAAACTTGACTTTGTCAGCCTGAACAAGGATGAATGAGTATGTTTAGTTTTAAAGCCTTTGCTTTGTCAGATAAAGAAAAAAGTCAAGAGATGCAGTTCTGGATGCATTTTCTAACTTGAAGTTCAATTTGAATTCAAATATTGTTCTTGACTGCAAATAAGCTTTTGTATTTCCCTAAGAGAGAAGTGTTGCACCTACAGTTCTAGGTGAATGCAGAGGCTTTGGGACTTCCAAACAGACAGGTATTATATGCCCAAACTTAAGTGAGTGACTTAAAAATAACCTGCGTAAGTTAAGCATGTTTTCATGAAGTGACGTTAGTTTGTATGTGAGCTCAGAGACAAAGTTGCTTCCAGGGTATATATGGAATGCAGAGAGGTAGGCTGCCTTGTTTTGAAACTGTGAAAAGGATAAGCAAAGTGGCAGGGTAATAACTGCCCTTGTTTTTTCTTCAGGATATCTTTGTCATAAGCAGCTCTGTGCTCAGTTCTTTTCTAAATGCCCTTGCCTTAGCCCTGCGTGCTCTCTTCTGTACTTCAGTCTGCTCATTTGTCCTAGCAGCCATTTGTTTCAGTGATGTGTTTTCTTTTTGGCCCTGAAACTTTAAGGAGAGAGAAGGCAATTTATGTGAATAATCACTTTATCCAGAGTAATGACTGCTGTGCTTGACTGTTATCCCAGCAGTATTAGCTAGATTTTTTGTTGGAGTGAGAGTACAGAAGCCACTTCGCAGATCCTTGCTGTCTGGAGTTGTAGCTGTGGAGACATGTTTCACAACATCAGGTTGGTCAAGAAAAAACAAGTACCTTCGTGCAGTCAGAGGAAAAGCTGTATATGTAGAAGGTGTGGCTGAGTTGTGCTTTTAATGTTAGCAAGTAGTAAACCACTAGTTGCCAGTGGGTTCAGATGAAAGACCAGCATCAAGTCCTGTATCTGGGGGTCCATTGCCGAAGGCTGAGTTTGCAGAGGAAGAAACCTGAA